CAGGCACGGGAGGGGTGGAAGCTGGGGCTAAGGGTACGCTGCAGAGTCTGCAGTCCCATCCTGCGGCTCACCTGGAGAAACGACACGTAACCCTTCAGAACTTCATATTTCAGGGCCTCTCTATTAAGTGGGATAATGACGTGTGTTTCCTAGGGCTGCAGTGAGAATTAGATAAGAAAATGCTGGGAAGGCCTGAGCAAATAGTGGCTCATAGACAGCAACAGTCCCTACCACCAAGACCTAAGCGCCCCCATCAAGTTCTGTGCTCAAACGCAGGAATTATAGGACGCATTACTTCCTTACCTCCAGTGTGTTTCCTTTTCTCTGATTGGTGGTGGATGTGTACACAGGGTGTTTCTTCTGCAGCGTTAGAGTACTTCCCTGCTCCTCTTCCCCCACCAACCCCGGATACATAAGCACGGACCCCTGCGCCCCCCCACCCCACCCCAGAGGTGGTTGGTTCTGCTCTGGGTCCCGTGGGGTCGGCTTCATATACCCTAGTAGAAGGCCAAGGGCAGTAGGACAAAGCCCCCAATCTCTCTGCAGCAGCCTGGCATGGCCAGCCTCTGCCCAGCCTGCTGCCAGCCTGGCTGGCTCTGGGACAGACGCTTCCTTTGGGACAGAAAAGTGGGAGCAGGGGCAGGTGCTCCTGAGACAAAAGAGATGGGACAGCTGCCAGCTGCTGAGGGGACCCTGTGCATGGGACTTGAGGTGGGGCAGGGTGGGGACATGCCAGGCGTCTGGGCCACCTCTCACACCTGTTCAGGCTCACCTCCAAAGGCTAATGGCCCTGAATGCCTTTATTCTAAGAGGCCAGGCTCCCGTGCTTCTGCTGAAAAGAAGGCTTAACCCAGGCTGGTGAGCAGGTGGCCGACAGCTGCTCCCTCCACAGAGCAAGATTGTCTCAGTGGCTGCAGGGCAGGCCCAGATGCCGCCCCTCTGTGTGAGAAGGTTCCCTCCTGGCTGAGACAAGGCCGGTCGCAGAGCTGCCAGCTATGGGCTATGTGCCAGTGGGTAGGGCGGGGGTTCCCTCAGAGCCCCTCGCTGCCTACAGGCAACTCTCTCCTCTCTTCTTTTGCAAATCCCTTCATTGCAGCCACTTCCGCCCTGAGTCAGGAAAGCAAACCTGTTTGCCCTCCTGCCTAATTGCCCCACACTCATCTCCCCAGGAGTCAAAGGCCCATCTCCCAATGATGTAGGGAGTTTGCCCTGACCCAGCAGGCTACTGTCTCCAGGGCTTTTGTAATTTCAATGTGATTATGATACAGGAGGCCCTAGAAGACTACTTCCCAGCTCCCAGCTCCCGGCTTCCTTGCCATTGACCGGGACAGGATGCAAGTCTAGGCCCTGAGGAGTTGCTGAGAGGATCAATTATAAAAGGGCACTAATCAGTTGATTTGGTTTTGAAAGACCCTGGGATTTTTTTTCTTTTTAAATTGCCAATGCAAAGTCCAGTGAATTGGTTTGCATGTTGAGTGCCACATGGAAAAAAGTCTGTGTGACAAGTGAGTAATCCCTGTTAGATTTACCTCACAGGGCCCCGTGGAGTGGTCCTAATACCCTGACCAGGCAGCACCCTCCTTTTGTTAAGGTCCTTGTTTTCTGCAAGCACAGCTTAAGTCCACTACCCTGATAGGCTTTCTACTGCCAAGAGCCCCATGACAGGTTCTGACTCTCAGAAAAGATGGAGAGACTGAGCCCCGGAAAGTCTGCAAACCAGGGCCTGGCTCGCTAATACTTACAGCCACACCCACACGTATCATCTCTAATCCTGGCAGCCACCCTGCCTGGAAATGTAGGCATGATTGTCCCCCTCTAGCTAATAAGGAAACAGGCTAGGAGAGGCTTCGTGGCTCCCCCAGGGTCACACACAGAGGACGCAACAGTGTCAGGATTCAGTCTCTGGCTGGTGGATCCAAAATCCCTTGTATTTCCTACCCTGTGGCTGGGAGGAAGGCCCTCTGCCCTTTTTTGGTGCCTGCGGGGCTGGCCTCAGTGCCTGGGGGCGACGGGGCTATTTCTCCCTCCTTGGGAAAGGCTTTCCTGGAGCCTGCACCACACGTGCACGCTCACCCTATGGTAGATGCAGGTGGTGGAGCCAAAATTTGTCCCTGGATTGAGGGAGGGAGAGTGACTCAGCCTCCCTGGGAAAAACGATGAGCTCAGAGAATGATGGCTGAGCTGTGCTGTGAGGGAAGGCAGAGGACTGATCGGACTGATTGTCCTAATGGAGAGAGAATATGCAGGGAAGGGCAGGGCAGGGCAATAACAAACCCGCATAACTGCGCCTGAAGGCGAGGCCAGGGAACAGCTCAGGCAGAGAATTGGCTAATCCAATTTCCAGCAGGCTTTGCAGTGTGTCTTTCAGCCATGATCAATTCCCACAAGGCCTCTGGCTTCTCCAGGAGACCAAGCTTCTGAATATGCAGCCACTTAACTTTCTTTGCCATTCACTTGGTAAGATCTGAGATCTAGCTTCCAGTCTGAAGGGCTGTGAAGGGTTAAGTTCCTAAGAGGTAAATTGTTTGAGGGCCCAAGTTATAGCGTTCTTGCCTCCACCTCTATTTAACCCAAGTGCCTAATCTATAAGAAGTGCTCAAAAAACATTTGAAGATACACCATTCTTTCCATAAATATTTAGGGACTGGAGCAAGGAACTCTGTGGACAGTCTCTGCCCTCTGGGAGTTTATGGTTTAGCAGGGGAGAGGAGATATTGATCCTGTCGTATCATTTGCTTTCAACCAAGAAGCCAGTGAGCTTCGAATGAAGGTACTGACTTGAGTCCTGCTGACCCCAATGTACAAGAAGATGCCGGTTAGCACTCAGTGTGACTACTGTGTCCCAGGCATCATACTAAGCATCTTCCTTGTTAACTTACTTAGTGTTCACAACGGCCCCAAATGGTTGGCTTGGTTATTATTTTAGTTTTACCGATGAGAACTCAGGCACAGGGAGATAACTTTCCTAGGATCACATACCTTGTAAGAGTTAAAGATGGGATTTCAAACTCAGTCTAGCCTCAGAGCCCAAATTATACAGAAGAGTGCTGATGAAACCCTGGTCAAAGACCGTTCTCTCAAGCTTGTGACTTTCTGTCTCCATGGCTGGACATGCAGCCGCTGTGACATGGGGAGGTGGGCTCGGACTCCCCTCTGCGCTGTGGATGGGGAGGCAGCACTATAATGGACCCCCACTCTTTCCCTCCAACCTTCAGGAGAGCTTTGTCCCACATGTCCTGACAGAGGGCTGGGACAGACCCCGTCCCAAGTGTACGCACATGAGGGAGTTATCTCAGTGAACTCACTTTTGTCTCCCTCTGGCCATGGCTCTGACTTTGTTGATGTAGATAATAGGACCAGAAAGGACTTTGCTTGGTTTTTTTCCTCATTTACTGCATTAATGAGATGCCCGCATAATGTTAAGTGTTTTCCATCTGTAAGAGGGCTTCTGCTAAGGCCCAGGAGACAGATCTCAGATACCAGAGGCATTTCAGACCAAGCTAACACTGCTGAGAGGGAGCGGAGAACCAGTGACAGGGCACTCGAAACCTGTTCCAGAGAGGAGAAGGTCAGGAGCTGGGAAGAATGTGTGAAGGTTTGTGGAGAAAGCTGCTAGTGTGCTTTGAGTCCCACCCCACCGGAAAAGGAAGGGGGTGGCCTGCCTCTCACCTCACTCTAAGGGAGAACAGGTACGGTGGGTCCCTTGGAGAGCCTGACATGTGTCCCCTGATGCTTGTAGACCCAGGAGACTGGTGTTGGATACCAGCCTGGGAAATCAAAACCGTGAGTAGTGGAGCTGGTTTTGGGGCTCTGGCTATAGAGCAAAGGCAGAGCAGCTGCCGCCTTGTGATTCTCTGGGTAAATAAGGCCCACATGCTTCCAACAGGCCACCTATAGGCCTCTTGAGATAAAGAGACTGGCATGAGGTCATCCTAGGAGCTGTCCAACAAGGAGTTCTGGAGGGGCAAACAGACTGCAGCAGACAGAAGCTGGGGCCCTACCTAGGAAGGAACAAGCCACCTGCCAGAGTAGAAGAGTATGTATCCTTGTAGAGAGCTGGAGGAAGGAAGGGACCCCGGAGACAGGGTCTCCTCCCAGGCTCAGAGAGCCCGAGGCCTGTCCCGGAAGTCACATGCATCAGGTGTAACTCCCTTGACCCCTCACCTCTCTTCCTTTTCTGCTCTTCTTGGTCCTGGAGGGATCAGAACCCCTCCTCCCACCAACACCCCTGTAAGCACTTGGGGTAAGAAGAACAGCAAAGCTGGGAAGAGAGGAACCAATCGCAGCACCTCCCCAGTGGCGTGCCACCTCTCTGCAGCAGCCCAGGCTGCCACCATGCCTTGCTCAGTCCACGAAACTAGAATTTGGGGGTGATCATTTGCATTACAAAAGACTTTTTCATTTAACCTAAAACATTCTCCTTAGAAGAAATGTCAGCTTTCCTTTAAAGATACTTTCTCTGGTGCATTTTAATTACTGAAATTTTGTATATCTCTATCATATTACCACACCTGAAAAATGAGCTTTTGTGAGTAGATACTACCCGTCATTCTCCTTCGGGACCCTCCGCAGGACCCGATCGCCAGAGACACTGAAAAATTCGATGACAAATGCACACTTTTCAGGGGCACACTGATTGTATAAAGTGAGTGCTGTCATAAGCCAGGTGAACTCCATTTTCAGATGGCCCCAGCTGAACAAATACACAAACCAGCCCTCAGCCTGTTCTCTCCCTGCATTTTCAAGCAGTAGGTGGGGCTAATAAAAACACTACCTCGTGTTTGTATAGCACTTGACACTTTCAAACCCAAAGTCGTTCTCCACCCCCACACTCATCCCAAACCGTTCCCGTCCCATTTCCGCCCACACCATGGCCCCTTTTCCTGGTGGCCAGCCTCGTGCCAGCTTTTACTGGGTGAGGCCATGTGCCTCCGCCCCTCCAGGGAGCCCACGTGTCATGCGAAGCAGCATTTCCTCATAAAGAGTCAGCCAGCCAGAAATGTGGGCAGAGAGCAGAGGGCAGCGTGTTCAGGATCTGTTTATTACGTCTCACAGCCTTGTTTATAGTCAAGGTGAATGACATTATTCCACTTTGCATGGTAATGAAACAACTTGATGAGGACTCCATCAGCCAAGCGGTTTATATGGCAGATGAGCTGCTACAAATCGGTCGTGCACGCCGCGTGACTCAGCTAATGCTACCGTGGTTGGAGAGCGCACACCAAGACCAGCCACCTTTTCTGCACCTGGCAGAGGAGAGGGAGCAGAAGGGGCAAAAGGGAGTCAGAATCCAGAAGGGGAAAGCTGACTGACAGGACCTGGACCCCAAACCTGGGAAGGCCCGTGGCCCCAGCCCCTAGTCTCCCACTGGGTCCACCATCTTGTGGAGTCCTGAGAGGCCACAGGGACAGGAAGACATTCTTTCTCTTGGGTTCTTCCTCCACGGTCTCATGCCAAGTGGCACAGGCTCTTGATCACAGGGGTGTCTTTGCCACCTCTCTTCCTTCCAACCCAGAGGGATACAGCTTTAAAGAGGGCTGACATTGGCCGATGGAAGGACAGCCTTGAATGGAAAGCCGTGTTTCTCCTGCTTTGCTTGGAAGTGGGCACAGACGGGGCTGGGAGAGTTCCGGGCACTCCTGTGGGTGGGAGACCATCCGGCCTCTGAGCGTGCCCCCCATCACCTCCTGTTTCTGGTTCATGGAGAAGCAGGCACCGCACTGCCGGCTGTCTCTTCCTCCTGCTCCTTCCTCCTCCGTCTACCCCACTTCACCCTCCCCAGGCTCTCAGCCCAATGGGGTTCACGCCTTCCCCTCACAGCCCAGGCCCTGGAGTGCCCGGACACCTCCCTGTGCATAGGAGACGCCCCAGGATCTGTACTCAGAGGCCGGAGGCCCAGCCTGCAGCCTGGGCAGGACACCATTCCACAGCTTCCGTTGATTGAGAGCAGCAAGGACTGGGGAGAGCACCAGAGACTAAAATCAACTAGGAACTTTCCGGCTGCCCACCCCGCCTGAGATGAAAGAGGAAATGGTGTGAGGGCTTAGAGCAGGAACCCAAACCCCACCGTGGCCTTGGAGAAGAAAGCCTCAAAGATCTTAGCATTCCCAGGATGTGACACCCTCCTCTGAGGCATTTGGAAGTTGTTGTGCTACCGCTATTATTACTATCACACACCTTAACCTACTACCTGAGTTCCCACTACCATGTCACATGGCCTTGGGGACAGAGGCACAGCCTAACATGAAATGGCCAAACACAGGAGTACATGAAAACAAATGGAGGCGGTGAGGGAGCCCAGGAGGCCAGCTTGGAGGAAGCACTCTGAGTAAGACGGGGAGGTGTGGCAAAAACTCTTAATCAAGCCCCCCTCAGCCCCCGTTGTTGGCATACCTGCTGCCCAACAATGCATGTAGCTGGGGCAGAAACATGTGGCATTTGTATCTCAAAGGGGCAAGTCTGACTGAAAGGGCACAGAGGCAGCCACCCCAATAGTCCAACTCAGGGCTGGAAGGTTCCCGGTCACTGCTATTTGCATCTGGGTGTGCTCCAGTCCTCTGGGTCCACACACCTGTGTTTTCAGCTCAGCTGTGTTCCGCCTGGGGCCCTAGCTTCCTAACTTCATCTGCACATTGATCTACCTGTGGGGTGATCCCTTGGGTCCGCATCCCAAGCTGTTCTGCGGTGGGACCTGGACACTTGGTTGTTACAACTAACTCCCTAGGTGACTGCGATGAGCAGCCAAGGGTGAGAACCGCTGCCTTAGATCACGGTCTTTATTCCAAGTATACGCACCCGGGAGCTTATTAGAAACGCAGACTTCTGGGTCCCACCCCAGGTCTGTTGGATCAGCCTCTCTGGATGTGAGCCCTGGGAATTAGCACTTGTTAGCACTTGTAACAGGTTTTCTGGGGGGCGGGGGGGGGGGCGGGGAGGTTCCTGGATGTTCAAGTTTAATAATAAAGACTGCTCAGAGGACACTTCCTCTCAGCTTAGGCATCCGGGGCTGTGAATGGTGGTCATTGATCGTGTTCTATTTGGTTTGCCAAGGGCAACAGGACATTCTACACCAGCCCCCAAACAGCTTAACGATCAAGTGGGGCCGAAAGGCCGCTCAGGGTGGAGAACAGTCCTCAAAGTCACAGCTGTGTCTGGCCTACTGCCCTGGCTTGTCCTGGGTCTTCAAGGGTCTCAGGCACAGGGCAAGCCCCGAGCCCACGAGGCAGGCCCCAGCACAAGCTGGCATGAGGAGCGAAGGAAGACATTAAATGGAAGAAGTGGCACCTGCGGGTGACCCAGCGAACGAAGCGATAAGGGCTATGGGAGAGGTCAGGGATGAGGTATGCTTGGATATTGCTCTAGATGTTGTAAACATTTCTCTTCTGTCACAGACCAAAATGTGGGTTGGCATGACCAAAGTGTCTGAAAGGAGCCATGAGAGCAGAGGGCTCTGTGCCTTTTGTGGGAAGCAGGACATGAAGGTATGAGGACAGCTCCACCCCACGGGAAGATCATGTCAGTGGTCACTAGTTTAATGCTCACAGTTGTCACACACACACACACACACACACACACACACACACACACACACACCCCACTCCATGGGAGTACCATAAATACAGCTATCACATTTCTCTACACACAGCCCACATACCCTCACTTAGCGGCAAAATTCAGGGTACCCAAGCTCGGTCCTTCACACCTCCCCGTTATGGGAGGAAGTCACCAGGCATCATGACACCAACGTCTGTAACCTTCATTTCACCAATAGTTGGCAGGAACTCGAGGCCCCCAGTGAAGCCACCGCACAACACTCTTGTTCAGACTTTTCTCCTGGGGAGAATGGAAGTGGTAAAAAGGCCCCTCTTAGGATGTTTCCTATTACCATAACTCCGTGCAGTTCCCATTTGTATGCACCGCGTTTCGACAGTACAGTTGGCAGCAGATGTACATTTCGTATGTAAACAATGTTTAAAATACCCTGTTTGAGAATTTGATCATTAAACTAATTCTGGCAGCTTTAGCTAAGGATGGTTTTTTGTGTTGTTTTTTTTTTTACCCGTGGGGGCAGGGGAATACTACCTGATCTAACTAGGAACACCCATTTGAGGCTTCAGAGTGCTTGAACGTGAAATTCCACAGGTCTCTTCACATGAACTAGGAGGCATGAACCTTGGTGGTTCATATAGACACACAAACCATCACCCATAGATACAATGGGCCATGGCAGGGCAGCGGGCCCAACATCGATGGGACTCAAGAGCTTTCTTGGCCTCGTCTAACTGCAGCCAAGGAAGGAAGGGATTCATAAAGTCATTGGACAGGGATGCAAACACTGGAAGCCCTGCATATTTAAAAAGGCCCATCATTTCCCTTAAGAGGAGAATGCTTCAGCCCCATTCTGTGACCTGCACGCTACAGTTTATGCCTAATCAGGTGCTGTTACGTTGAGTCAAGCTGAAAGTTTTGAAGATCTGCCATGAATCCAAATCCATCAGCTGGGCATTATCCCAATAGCTCCTCCAGCACATTCTCTGTGATTCAGTCTACCAGGAGGCCAGCCTCTTCGTGGTCCTCTTCCACTTTCTGGTCTCCCTGCTGAGAACTCACTTCCTTGGCACTGCAGTCTTGTGGCAAAGTCAGCTTTGTCTTGGGCCGCTAGAGGAGGTTCCATGCACCTCATTCATCCTCCAAGACAGAGTTTCCTGGCCCATTTCCAAGAGCAGCCCCAGGACGCCATGAAAGCATTTTAGGAAGTTCCTCCACAACCAGATGTTCACAGTGATCTTCTTAGCCTCATGTGCAATCCCAAAATGTCAGAGATCAAGACGGAAGCTGCTGAATAGCCCAGGAGGCCCTCACGAGAAGGACCGTTCTACGAAAGCATGCTCCCAGGAAGCAAGCTAGAAAGAGAATTGTAGCCGAAGTTCCCATTCTCTCCCATCATAATTGCATGACCTGCATGGAAGGCGGATGGAGAGAGACAGGGAAAGGAGTAGGCACCATGAGAGCTGTCTGTGCTATGGGAATTCTCCTCCCTTTGCCAAGCTGTCTGTCATTCTAAGAGATCAGTGATATATGATGCCATAGGGGGGCGAGGGCAGAGACTACATTAAGCAGCAGGAAGGTTATATGGTGCCCCATTGCACAAAAGTCCACTGGTACTACATTTCCTGATGGTCCATTTTCTGAAAAACTTCTTGGTAGAATTGAGGAAGATTTGCAAGCTGTATCTTTCTTCATAGCAGCTCCACATCAGAAGTCGTGAAGGACATCTTCCAAGACCCTTTCTGGAAGGGTCTTGCAAGGTTAGGGGAGTCTTGTGAATTTCTAAGACTAAGATGGGCAGTGAGCACAGCTTTTCACACGGGTCCTGTGGAAATGGAAGAAAGAGCCAACTCCATGGAGTTTGCACTTTCTCCCAGGAGCCATCTGTCAATGACAATGCTAGAAAACCCAGGATTCCACAGGGACCTCTTTCCTAAACTGTGAGGTCCCAGCACCTGCAACTGGCCATTACACTGTGATAGCAAATCACAACTGGGAGCCAGTTTTCTAACTATTCCTCACCAGGGTATAGGACGTTAGGGAGTCAGGAGTCCTAACCGAGGAGGATGTAGAAGGGGTGGAAATTGCATTTGCATTATTTACAGATGAGCCCGGCCTAGTAAATCTGCCTTCTCAGTGGAGATGACCCAAGGCGTTATGGAGGACAAGTTGCTGATGCAGTGAAGGGTGACTGCAGCAGGGTGCTTTCACGAACCAAAACACAAAAGGGGATAAATGCAACAGGGCCCCAGTTCTGGTGACTAGATCCCACGTTGGAACGGCCCTTCATCCCCTCCTCACCCCCAGCCTCCCAACCTATGACATTTCACGTTAGAAGATGAGTCTTGGCAGCAGGGGGCGGGGAAAGCTGATGATCTCCGAGAGGCCCCATCTGAGGTCTAACTGAGCCTCCTCTGGCTTTGGGACAGCAAATCTAAGTACATTTTGGACCTCAGGAACCTGGGGTACGAGTCTTTCTCCATGAGGCTGTGTACTTTCCCCTGGGCCTGGTCAAAGCAAGTCAGGGACGGCTCTTCCATGTTCTTCCGTGTGGCTTCTCGGGTCTGGAAGTCTATGTTTACCTGGAGACACAAATAGAGAGCATGGTCATGGGCTCTCAAGGGCCAAGGTGTCCGGCAACTGGTTATTTATGTGTATTTATATATATATATATATATAACTATATATATATATATATAGTTATATATATATATATAGTTATATAGATAAAATATAGTTATTCTTGCTTTTCAAACTGTTTTCATGGAGGTCATCCCTTTGGATCCCAGAAAGAATCCTGTGAGGTCTGAAGACCAGCTATTCCTCGTCCCAATTCATAAGGACACCGAATAAAAAAGACACTTTAAAAAGGTCTAAAGTAATATGGAAAGTTAGTAATGCAGCCAAGGCAAAACCCCAATTCCCTTAACTCTTCACCCAGAGGCCTTTACAAAGCCGGGCAGAGTTGGACTCGAGACAAGTTTTAATGCTGGTTCCCCAAAGTAAGCTTGCCCTCTTGTCCTTTCTTAACTACTAAGAAAACAAATGGCCCGGGGAGAGAGACTGTGGCGAGAATACACATCTCTGTTCCAAGCAGCATGAAAAGAAGCCTACAGCACCCTGGCCACTGACCAAAGACACCCTGCAGCCCAAGTCAAAGTGGAATGGAAGAGCTCTATGATAGGTATGGAATGAACCTAAAGTCACAGACAGCAAATATTACTCTTCTAAAAAAAACCCTCCCAAGTAAAACTTTGTTTTTTATCTCAGAACAGCAGTACATAGAAATTCATTTTCTTATTCGAAGTAATTATAAGTTATCATAAAATAATATAAATGACAATAATTACCTATTAATAAGCAGTGACAAATATTCAATAGGTGCTTTATCCCTAATACTCAGAGTAGTCTTAAAAGGTAGGTGGTGTTATACTCTTTTACATCGGGGAAAATGTGACTCAGGGAGGCCAGGTAACTTGACCAAGATCACACAGCTCGTAAGTGGTAGAGCTGAGACTGGACCAAGATTCCGAAGTGGAGGCTCATCCCATTAAGCCAGGCTGCCTTCCACTCGGACACACCTAATAGAGCTCCTTTTATACAAGCCCTTGGCTCTGCCCCTTAAAACCATCCCCTTTTTATCAAGAGCCACCAGAGAGAGCAGTGAGGCTCAGTTTCGAAGCAAGTCCCCACCAAGCCTGGCTCAAACCCCCACAAGGAGAGAGCTCTGAGCCTGGAGCCATGGATGGAGGTCTGACAAGACGCTCGCCACCACCAACACACCTCCCTCGGAGCCTGCACATCCACAAATTCCTCAAAGATCCTATGGGCCTTGGAGACCAGTTTTGCAGTTGACCTGGTCTTCTTGTACTCCTCACAGGCCAGCCAGAACTCCAGGTTCTCCTCGCTGAACTCCGTCTTCAGGAAGGCCCGGAATGCAGCCACCCCACCTGTGCATGTGCAGGGAGATGGAGAGGAAGAGAGACAGGGAGAAGCTTAAACTCAAGAGCTGAGAAGAAAGAGAAGGGTAGTCACAATGTGAGAGTGGCCCCGATCGTCTAGCCCTATAGCTCCTCCTCCAAATCCTCTTGAAGACTTGATGCTCGTAGACACAACAAACACCCTCAGAGGCAAGCCCTGCTTCTTACTCAAGGATCATCGTGAGATGGAGAAACGCTCGGGAAACCACATTAATAACGAGTATGAGAAGGCCCAGCCACTTTCTAATCAGCCCTCGGTGGTCACTGCCTAGCCCCAAATGCAGAGTTGGCTGTCCCCTGGGTCTACTGGTGAGGCTGTGTTTCTAATTAGGCCAAAGTAATGCGTGTAGCCCACTCCTTAACCCTAACCCAAGTCAGCCACCCTGAAAAAGCAATCTGTTAAAAAACCAACTAGAAGGAGGTGTGAATGCCTCAGGGCAAATCCGTCACTACCACCAGAATAATGTCTGAAAATAAACACGTACTGAAATTGAGCTGGTAACACCAATCTTATTACATGGACATGGTTCCCAGCCTCTTTAAAAACACTTCTGAGGCCCTGTATTTTAATGGCATATGCCATTGATCATTTATTTTAAAAGATCTTGCCTATCAAATTATGTGTTTTAATTAAGATTATAATTTTTGTACTAAATGATTTAACAATTAGTATCCCCTTTCATTTTTATTAATGAATGCCATGCCTACTGCCAAACAAAGCCTCCAATCAGAGTAAGATGAACAGGGTTACCCCACAGATTTGGAAAGGGGAATAACCTTCATTGATAACCTATGCAGTCAGTTAATGTTTTTATTTTACAATATTTTTTTATGAATTATTTTAACCCTTAACACATGCTCCTCTAACTGAATACCAGGGATAGCTTTCTACAAATTATTCTCTGGGAAGGACAGATACAGTCTAGAATAAAGAAGTCACTGCATTGATTAAAAATGACTCTGGCTATAATGTTTTACTTTTCTAAAATTCATAAGGAGAGCAATATGTTAACAGTTCTTAATTCTGGGTGGTGGGATGACTTGAGCATCTGAGGTCCCCCAGTATGCATCAGGACGGCACTGCCCAGGATCATTTGTTGGGTTGTTGGCATCATGCTATTGATGTATTTAACTGTTTGTTTTTACTCTTCTGAAACATTTTTCTTTCTCTAAATTAAAAAGTCATTGTTTGACAACAATATGGTGTTTACCAGAGAGAAAGGTGGGTTGGGAATGGTAGAAGACGGTGATGGAAGGAGATTTGACTTTGGGTGGTGAAAATACAATGCAGTATACAGATGTATTATAGAAATGTACATTTGAAACCTATATAATTTTGTTAACCAATGCCACTCCAATAAATTTAATAAAAACTTTAAAAAAGTCATTGTTTATGTTTGTCTTTCCATGTAGACATCTTAATGTCCATGCTAGAACAATAGTCAGAAAAGCCAAGACTTTTCATTCCAAGAGCCTCAAACTTGAGAGAGAACAGGATTTTGATGGGACTCCCTGAGCTAAATTTTAAATCACAAAGAAATCTAAGTTTGGAGCTCTGCTAACAAAACTAGGGGCGGCCATGAAATTCCTCACTCAAGCCAAGACATTTTTGAGAATGAAGGAGGCACTTCTGTTAATTACGTGGGAACAATGGACATAAACCGTGACCACCACAGGCAGAAACTGGGACATGGGGTCAGTTTAACTTTAAGACAAGGAAAATGGCAAAATCAGAATATGATGTAAGCTTGTTTCCCATCAGAAAGGATGGAAATAAAATTGTTCCTGTGCCAGGCAGGGAAGGAGGAGAAGAGAAACACAGCCTAGACTCAAATAAGCAAGAGGTCTGCTCAGGGCCCCACCCAACCTCATTCCTACATTGGGTTCAAAACCCTGAAAGGAGGGAGTAGAAACCCCAGATAAATTGAGAATCAAAGTGAGTATAACACAGTGACATGGCAATAGTTCAGCAGAGAGATGACCTGAGAATCATTCATTCAACTCAATAATGTTTTTGTGTTTTTTTTTTAAACTGCTAAGGTACAACGAAGTACTATTTAAAGTCTTGGGATACATCAGAGAACAAATCAGAGAATCTCTGCCCATAAAATCCCTTGTGGTGTTCTTCTTGCCTCCCTTTGCCTCCAGCAAGTTCTCAGAGGTTTGCGCAGGCTCCGAGGAACTCGGATTTGAGAACTAGCCTGCCTGCCAGGAGCTGGCCACCATGGCAGACTACAAGCAGATGTTGGATGGAAAAGCATCTATAGCTATGGACACCTCTGAGGAGACAGTGCCCCTTAAAACCTTGGTGAGGGGGGGGGCTGGCTTAACAAGGTGGCCTCTGAGTGGTGGCCAGTCCACACATCCACACATGACAAGAGTCATAGGTACTATCAGTGGACCCAGAGAGGACCTGAGGACCACAGCTAGATTCACAGTCCCTCCCCCAAACCAGATGCCTTTCCACTGTAGTCAGGGAGTGGGAAGGAAAAGGCGGGGGTGTGGGGGGGGAGGGGAGGGAAGGACCCTAACATTTACTGAAAAGAACAAATGCAAAGTGACTTAGAAGAAGAACTTGGAAGAGCCTTTTGTTTGTAAACCAGCAGAGATTTAATTCCTTGAATGGGAAAGTTAGCTTGTTGTTTGTGTTAGCTTTTATTTTGTTTTTCATCGAGCAAAAACAGGTGCTTGTGAGCAAGCTAACTCTAGTTCCAGATAAAGAAAGAAAATTACCTTTCTGCCTCCCTCAATTGTATTGGCTAACATAACCCAGGGAAGGAAGGAAGGAAACTAGACTCATGCTACACAAGCTCCATGCATTATCTCTTTTCATCTGAGTCTTGGCTTTGTTAGGTCTTCATGTGATTAAAGAGATTATACCTGCAAAGCGCTCTCAAGGTTGTTGCTTTACTTCTTCTCATTTTACAGGAGACTGATGCTTAGAGAGGTGGCTTGACTGAGCTCACTCAAGTGATAATATGCAGCGGTAGACCTCTATAAGGTATGGTAACTCCCAGTCCAACACAGCAATCATGCCATCTCCATTCATTCATTCATTCATTCACCCATTATGTGACCCAGACATTCTGCTAGGTGCTAAAAACAGGCACAATTAAGCTCTCACAGAACTTGCAGTGAAAGGGCAATTTGAGCCAAGAAAACACAATTATGGTAATCATGGTACATGTGACAGGGAGAGAGTATGTTGTTTAAGTGCCCAGGAGAGGCACCTCATCCAGCCCTGAGGAGGGAAGGGAGGAGTTGCAGGAGGAAGAAGCTTCTACGCTGAGATATGAAGTTGGAGAAGGAAGCTGAGTTTTCAAGATGGAGAAGAGAATTGCAAGAAGGCGGATGCACATGAGCGAAGGCCTGGAATTAAGAAACGCTAAGTAACCAGAAATAGCTTAGTAAGACTAGTGTTTAATATTAATAACACTAAAAATTATTGAGCTACTTATAGGATAGACATACACCAAGAGCCCTGTGGAAAAGCCAGAGAGCGAAGATAACACTCACTATGGAAAGCCAGGGAAAAGAGTTTCAAGATGGAGGAAGTGGCCACTGTGCCCGGTGCTACCCAGAGGTCAAGATACGAGGGGACACGGTCTGAGAAATGGTCGTTAGATTCAGTGACAAGATTCGGCAACCCCTGACAAGAACAGTCTTTGTGGTGTGAGGGGGGCCCCTTGCCATATGGGGGTAAGTATAGTGGTGAATGAGTGGGGAGGAAGCAGAAACAGTTAATTCAGATGTCTCGGGCAAGGAGGGAGGAGAAAGAACAGACCTCATAGCTGGAAGGAAATCGGAGGTCAGGAAAGAGGGTTTTTTGTTCTTTGGGGGTTGTTTGGGGGTTTTTTTGTGTGTGTGTGGTTTTTTTTTTTTTTTAAAGATCATCATGAGTATGTTTAAATGTTGATCTTATCAGAAAAGAGCTGTTGAGCAAGAGGAGTTGAAGTTAAAGGCAAGAGTTTAATTGATGAAGTGCTGACCCTGGGAAAGTAGAACAGAATTATGATGGAGAGAAAGAGGGAAGGCTGCATATGGATGCAGGGAAGTTTCTAGTTTAGGTGTGTGACCAAGGAGCTCCTATCTGATTGTAGCTGGAGAAGGTGGTAGGACCTAGGGAGGGTAAGGTTTTGTTTTTATTGATTGATTTAGGATTTGGGGCAGGGAGTTCTATTTATTTACTATATGCCATGCTTTTTGCTGGGGATTTTACAAACACCAGCTCCGTTTATTGTCACAGTGCTGATCCACAGACAGTGTCACTCTCATTTTCTACAGGAAGAAACTAAAGCTTACAAAAGTCGAATAAATTTCCCACTTACACAGCTGGCAAGAACAGCCATGTTTCTCTACCAGGTCCATATGACTCCAAAGCAAGAAATTTCCAGAGGTACTTGCAGGCAGAAAAAGAGCAAGAGAAGAGAGAAATGAAAGGGGCAAAAGTGCAGCATCTGGAAAAGGCAAACTCTAGAGAAGGAGAGAGGGACTAAGAAGTGGAAGGACTTGTCTTCCTTAGAATCAAAAGGAGAGAAAAAGGAAGGGATGCAGATGAAGATAGAGAGAAATGGTCAGGAAAGGGATGGATGGGAGATACAGCAAGCTGATCCTCCTTATAAATTTGGGGTGTAGGTGGTTTGCCTCCACGTGCTAGGTTTTGGAGGAGTAAGTCAGATGAACTCACCACCTCACAGAACTCGCAAGCTAGTCTAGTGTAACAGACATTAAGCGACAATTGTAAATAATTAATTGAATAATTACAAGTGCAGCGTGTGCTGTAGTGGGGGTACCTAAGAATGCAAAGAGTTTGGAACAACTACTTCGGGAAAATGAATAAGAAGATCATAAGAAACAGGCAAACAATTGTAAAGGTCTCGATTTTAGTTCCCGGAGAGGGTTATGATGCACCAGGAAGGGAGCAAGAACTTTTAGTTTTGGGTGCATCCATCTCTCAAAGAGAGGGGCAC